AGGGGGGGTGGCCAACGCTGCACCATATATATATATATATATATATATATATTTGAAAAAAACGATGCAGTTAAATTATAGATTTAGACAAGATAGAATTAGGTAGATTTAGAAATATTTAAATAAATTTAAATAGATTTAGATAGATTTAGATAGATAGAGATGGATAGAGATGGATAGAGATGGATAGAGATGGATAAAGATGGATAAAGATGGATAAAGATGGATATAGATAGATAGGATAAAGATGGATAAAGATGGATATAGATAGATAGATAGATAGATAGATAGGTAGATAGGTAGATAGGTAGATAGGTAGATAGGTAGATAGGTAGATAGGTAGATAGGTAGATAGGTAGATAGGTAGATAGGTAGAAAGGTAGAAAGGTAGATAGGTAGATAGGTAGATAGGTAGATAGGTAGATAGGTAGATAGGTAGATAGGTAGATAGGTAGATAGGTAGATAGGTAGATAGGTAGATAGATTCATTCTGTATGTCATGTCTACAATACATGCATACATATATGTGTATTATATATATATATACATATACCTGGACCTTCGTTTGTAGCACCTTTTTCAGGTACGTAAAAAATCAGGTATGTTTCAACAAAATTCTGCTCGAACCTACAATTTTAAGTGGTTTTCACCAAATCGCGCGAATTCCCGTTCCCACCACCCCAATGAACATGGTTGTGCCTTGTTCTTAACTTGCGCGAATTCTACGCCTTTTTCTAGGTTTTGTGCGTTTTTTTTGCATTCCAATTTCTGCGCGTTTCCAAGTGGAGCCATCAAAAATTTAGCAAATTTCTGTTCGTTTTGTGAAGACCAGTGCGTTTTGCGCAAACATGGATTTCAGGTACAAAATCTCAACTGCTATATATTTTTGAGGTACGTTTGAAGGTCCACGTATATGTATTCAGTTGTGTTTAAATCTATTTCTACCAGTAAAATCTCAATGAAGCACCCGCAGAAGCTTGCACTCGGAAGCTGTTTTCACGGCATGGCTGCCCTTCGGAATCGATATTCCTAGCACTGTACGGCATACTCCACGGAGCAGTCTAGAGCAAGATATTTGTCGACTGGCTGTGGTTGACACATCTGAAGACAACAGTTGCGGGAAAATGTGCGTAAGCAGTATATGAATAATATATACGTTGGTCGTATATTCCAGAAAACATCCCCATACTTAATACCCCAGAAATATACCCCAATGTTTGAACATAGTTGTGGGGTCTTCAGTTTGCCGATGGTACTAAAGTAACAGTGATGTTCGCATTGTCGGGAGGAGGAATATGATCACCGCAAACCCCATAAATCTTGTTCGAAGGCCATTGCACTGCGTTTTGTAAGAATTGCATAGAATTGCCATTTTACAAGTCAATTGGCAGAAAAAGCGCGTGTCATACGGAAAAACATCTTTGCAAAATAGACTCTGAAGTTTGGCATATTCTGTACATTGAGGTGGGGCCCAGGATGGCCCAGGTCTGCAATGGCAGCGTCCATGTTTTCTCTGTGAGTGTTTGATCATCCTCTGTGAGATGGTAAGCGCATGAAAAATAGATTATTCCATTCAAAAGAATATTGCGCCGTCCTTCGCTTCACTTCCCTTCCCTTCCTCCTTCTGTCCCTCTTTTGTAATTCTTTTGTGACAAATACATACAAATACTGTAGTTGTTATACATCCATCCCCATTGAGATCTCCAAGGCGACGTTGCTCGAAATTCTCTGAAACGTTCCTGCCTATGAAGGAAAAACGGTCCCATGCAATGTTGGGACGCCCCCCCCAAGGAAAGGGATTTGCTCTTGGACATTTCCTTTACAAATGGGTCAATCAATTCTCGAACATGCGTTGCTGCACAGAAAAATGACAAGGCCAAAGAAGGCCAAAGTTTACCTGGTATCATGACCCTCGGGTCATCAAACATTGCAATAGAAAATCCCCCATAAAAAAACTCCATTCATGGGGATTTCCAAGCGTCATGTTTGATTCCTGGAGGGTAAGTGCCCTGTTCCAAATACAAAGTGCTCTTGCTCATCCATCTCCCACTGTTGGCCGGTCTGCGAAGTATATCCGTTTTTCAAGAGAGCTCTTGGTGGTGGGGGGGTGGTGTTGAGAGAGAGAGTTGTGATTTGGTGTTGTTTATGACAGGGCACTTCTTGTCAGTTCAAAGATGTACTCGTAATATTTGTTGGAAAACAAACCGCTTTTGGACAATCACCCTTTAATGTAGCTCAGGGATTATATTACATATTAATTACTTCAAACAAGTGATGGCATACTCACTTTCAAGAATATGGATTCACTTGAATCGGGAAAACAATATGTTGCAAATGTTTGTTCTACAAGTTCTTTCCAAAGTTACAAGGTATCTTTCAAGCAAATGTTATCTTTACTTTCGGAAAAATGAATGTTCAGATTCAAATATGCAATACTGTTGTCAAGAATGCAGAGTGCTCAAAGACTAAACCTATGGATACTGGAGGACATATTTGAAAAAGAACAAAATTGTGGCCACAAAGTGCACAAAATGCAAAGAAGAACTAGGAACTTGGGTTCAAGATTCAAGGATATTGCCATGAGTCAAAATGTATGGCTCCAAACATTGGATGCTTCAGGTCCTTGACTGCACCAAACACAAAGCAGTAGATTTTTTTCTGAGCCAGAAATTGATCCAGGAACATCGCTGGATGATAAGTTCTGCGGGTCGGATAAATAAATGTGACGACTCATAGGTATCATAAGCTGTACACACCAACAAAATTAGTTCACAAAAAATATTTAACAAAGAACTGAAAAAAATGGAAAGATGTGTTGCTTTACTTCGTGTGATCCACACCATTAAAAAAAAAACAAACATAAACATTCACCAAAAATGCTGGCACACAAAGATCCTGACATTTATTGTTAAATAAAATCTGACATATAGTATGAAATACTCTGCCCATCCTGACATGTACTCCAACATGTGGTCTGACAGTGATCCTAACATAAACTCAGGTGATATGTTGACATGTCTATCTGTCAAATTTCATGTGACACACCGAATGGTTCCGCCATATATTCTGTCATTTGCCCTGACAAATTTCAGTGAGACACAGCATCACGTCTGGCATAAAAGCTGACATGTGATTTTGTTCTTTTCATATGACATATATAATGTCATATATATTAATGTCTTCTGACATATATTCTCACGTGTGTCATGACGTTCGCACGGCAAAAAACATGTTACATATACTGGGACAACAATGACGGTTGATCTGAGATATTGTGAGCTGCAATATTTTGACATTTGTCTTATGAGATCTTTGTGGAGCCTGGGACTGGGAAGCCCCAAAATAGCTATATATTTGATCATTTTTTGGTCGTTTTTTGGTCATAGACCTTGACCTTGATTACACAATGGTATCCCAATGGTCAATCGTGCTGGAGCCCAATGGATAACATAACGACATATAACGACTGTACTCGCTGCCAGTCTTTAACACCACCAGTCAAATATCCTAGAATGATTATGAATGATTAAGAGGAGTCGAAATCATTCTATGCTTTCCATATCTCGGGGTGACAATTGCGGACTGCTCGGGTTAATGAAATTCCCCTGTGGCTGCATCGCTTGTGGAATCTTAGGCATTCTTCAACTTCGATGCATCGACTTCTCTCCATGGAGCGGCAAAATGGCATCGTTCGTGGCTTCTTTGTGCTCACGGACGAGCTCCGAGATGTACTTGGATGGACCAAGGCAGACTCAGTATGACTCAGTGATTCAGCAACCCATAACCTTTCTCAGTGGTCAAATCCCAAGTTCTTTGGGGATCCAAGATGTCCTAAATGGAGGCCTGGCCTTAAGCCACCCTTCTGTATTCGTAAAACCACTAGATGCTGACCTAGGAGTCCACCCAAGAATTCAAACGTGGATGGCTCACCTGGCATCTTGTGCCTCAACGCCAAGAAATCCAGTTTCAAAATGTTTCAAAGATGCCAGATGTTGTCATTCATACCACAACATTCCACTTCAATCTTGCCAGCTGGAACTACAATGAACTACATGTTCTTTCTAAATTCTGTCGCTACGATGCGCAGCAATCAGCTCTTCCGAGTTCTACCAACGCTATTTAAAGCACCCATGTACTGTGATACATATCATGTCATATGATATAGTTGTTTTACCAAAAAACAACAACTTGCAAATTGGCTAATTACTCATAAACAGTGGGTCAATTATAAATCAAAATCCAACATTTTAGTCTATACTGACTAACACATTCACACCATGAAGAATGAAACGCTCTGCAAAGTTTGAACCACGCCTGGGCTGTGCGGTTTGTCACGTGCGTCAAGGGTTTGTGCGATTGGCCCTGGCCATCGCGGCGTGGATGGCACGGAGCTTCGTGGCCCTCGAGGCGCTCCAGGCACGGGAGTGCGTCTTGCAGTGCGGGCTGGGGTGACTGCGGTGATTGCGGTGACTGCGAGTGCCTTTGCCGGTGAAGTTGCCCTTGCCGTGGCCTTTGCCACCGAACACGATGTCGTTGGACGGCAGATCGAAGTCACACTGCTGGAAACAAGGCGATGGAAAAGGACATGCGGGGTGGCAAGGATCACACTCGCAGCTACACGGATTCAAATCGCATGGGTCAATACAACCGGGCGTGAAAAGGTCCTTGCATGGGTCATCAGGACAACCGGGCAAGGAACTGTCATAGCAGCAACGCGGATTAGGGTCACCGCAGCAGCGATCAGTACTACCGCAGCAGCGATCAGTACTACCGCAGCAAGGATCAGGACTATCGCAGCAAGGATTAGGACTACGGCAGCAAAAAGGATCAGGAGCATTATCGCACGGATCTGATTGGCATCTCGGATCCGAAGGGTTGATGTCACTGCAGCAGGCCACAAGGTCGGAGTTTTGACTGGCCGCATTGCACGGGCAGAACTGATCCGTATTGCAGCAGGCCATGGCCTGCATTTGGTCGTAGTTCGGACTGATCCGATTGCACGGGCATTCGGGATCCCAAGGGGCGTCAAAGTTACTGCAGCAGGCCACAAAGTCGTATACGTTCTGATTGTCCCGATTGCACGGGCAGAATGGATCCGAAAGAGGGTCGCTATTGCAGCAGGCCTCAAAGTCGTAGTTCGGACTGTTCTGATTGCACGGGCAGTTCGGATCCGAAGGGGTGTCAAAGATACTGCAGCATACCTCAGGCTTGTAGTTCTCACTGTCCGGATTGCACGGGCAGAATGGATCCGAAAGAGGGTCGCTATTGCAGCAGGCGACAGGGTCGTAGTTCTCCCTGCCAGGATTGCACGGGCAGAATGGATTCGAAGGGATACTGCAGCAGGCCACAAGGTTGTAGTTCAGACTGTCCCGATTGCACGTTTCACAGAACAGGAAATAGTTGGGATTATCTGGATTCTGGACCGGATCGCAGCAGATCCCAGAATCGAAGATCCCGCTCTTCGGATTGCATGGATCCTCGGCTGTCAAGGGAAATTACCCAGCCCTGATAGGGGTATGGCAACAAAAAATGAAGGATTCAAACAGATTGTTGTAAATTGGTCATGTTTAGTGTTGCAAGGGGTCGTGTGCATGCTGGGCGTTATGTTTCACAATCCATCCAACTCCTGGCATGATTAAGTCATATTAAGTCGTCTTAGGTCTTGCTTGTCGCTCAAGAAAATGTGAAACACGTGAACAGAAAGCCCTGGAGCATCACAGAACATCCATGGCTTCAGAATCAGCAAGATAGGGGAACACCAAAATCATCCAAGCCTACCAGCTTTCCAAATCACTGACGGGTGGAACCTAAAGAAAAGCAGCCTGCCGAGAATGTTTGTCCCCCTGTCGTGCAGGGGACAACCGAATACGCTAGTTCTACAGGAGTCTATGAAAAAACACATCTATGATAATACATGGTTTCACAACCGATCGCATGGAAAGTTGGGCGAATTCATCTACAACATGTTCCACTTGTCGCAGGAATTTCAAACCAAGAACGCTGCCATACCAAACCAATTACTGATATTACAGCACATTTTCGCTACCCTCTGGTCACCTCAAGCATTACCCCATGGCTATCATCACTCATCCTTTAAGTCACCAGCTAGTGATGTTCCCAGCTGTGGTCACTTCCATATCGCATGGCCGCCACGGGGATGACCGAGGCACACACTGCTGAGCAAACCCAAAGATGAGGGTTGGATATGCAAGTTCGCCCACGCCTCACGGTCAGATGTCGAAGTAAGTTGAACATGTTTTTGGTTTGAAAATGAGGTATCATTGTGTCCCCATCAAATGATACTGGTAAAACTGATGGTATGGCATTTGGAGGGACCCAATTTTCAGACAAACACATATCGTCCCATGTCGATTTGTTACAGAATACTAATGTATTTCCTGCTGTTGTCATGTCTCATCATGAGTCATCTTTTGGAATACGAATGACCAGTAGACCACCAGAAACACGGCCCCAGTCGCCTGGCACGATCAAGCTACCGCTCTTGCTGGTCTCAAACTTCAGTTCCCAGTCTCCATTGAGCTGTTCTCCGCAAAAACAGTCATTTGGCGCCAAGGCCATGGCCACATAAGGGTACCACAACCCCTGTGGGACCGGCAAAGGGAAACTTTCATCAAAATTCCTTGGAACAACGCAAAGAAAATGCGGCCTAGCCAAACTTATCTTTCACGCAGGAAACAAAAAGATGCATCAAACGAAATGCGGTGCAAAATGGCGTGATGGTCATCGAATGGATATTGCAGATTGCAAATGGAAACAAAACCTTCCATGTTTTTCGAATCAAACAGGTCAAGTCGGAAGCCTCAACCCAAACAGTACTGACTTCACCAAGAGTCGGAGTGGGAATTGTTGCTAATTCCCGCTCTGTCCCGGACGGACTCTTGGCATACATCCTAAAATTGAAGTCAAACTCCTGTTGATCAACTAAGAGAGCTGCAAACTTGAGTGTAGATGCGCAACAATCACTTGCGACGCTGAAGAGAATGGAAGTGTTCCTTGGGCCCTCATCCGCCCCTGGCCCAACAGGTAGACCATTCTCTTCCAAGTTCTGTGCCAACGGTTTTTGGACTTCGCAGTCCTGCGGTGGCAGAAGCAGTAAACTGCCTGGGATCCAGTCTTTTGAGGCTAAGTGTTGGGGGGAGGGCTACAACATCCAGAAATGCCTTGTGGAAGACCCAACAAATTTCACACGGAGACTTAAACGATAGTGGGAACTTCAATCTCCAGGACAGGATGTTATTTTTGTCAACTCAAGATACAACAAACATGCCACATAAAACAAAGGTGGCCCAGTGGCTGGGCCGGGGGGGCTTTGAAAAAACTACCAGTGGCTGGGCCTTCACCAGATCTGGGCCGCTGTCCTGACAATCGAGAGTCGAAATCTCTAAAGTTGAGATTCCTGATCCTAGTCGTGCAATCTTCGCATGAGGGTCAGCCGTCTTGAAGGTGATAACCCAAGGACTTGAAACCTAAGCGAACGACACAGCAATAGGCGTGTTCTTTGACATGTTCCACAAGGTGAAACGATGCGTTGTACTGTTTAAAGCATTGCAACCTGAAACCATTCGCTTCCAATCAAAAACTCTGCGCAGTCAGCACAGGACAGGCATGCGCAAGAGGCAACACATGGGACGTAAGTGTTTCAAAACATTTTTTTTGGTCAAATAAGGTTAGGATCACCCAATCAAGAAATAGAACAAAATATCATGCCATATGACACGGATGAGAATGGGAAACAAGACCTAACAGCATCCAACGGTTGCAGCACAAAACACGGCCAAAACAATCCTTGACGCAAAATCGCAAATTTATTTTGTCTGAACACCTTGCTTTATATATATATATATGTGCTCGGCGGCGGTGGATGATCAACCAGTGGCAACCAAACATTTCAAATCGTTTCAACAGAATCACTACACCAACATCACTGGCACAAAACAAACAGACACACTTCAAAGCTGGGCGCAGCGCTCCTGAACATTGTAACAGACTAAGTCTGACCACCTGTTTGAACCCTCATATGTTTTGTTTTCCCCATTTTCAAATGGCATTTTGCGTTTTTTTGCTCCGTGTTTAGTATCAACGTTCTGTCTTGCCATCTGCTAAATTGCGGGGCATTCGTCCAACAACACATGTGAAAAAATGACCGCCGGGGGGGCGCAGCAAGGTCCGGCAGATGTGTGGAAAACGATGGATTTTGGTTTCTGTTTCTCGTGGTCGTAGTTGCCATGGTCATGGTCGAAGTCATTTCCGAGGTCGTTGCCGTCATTGTGTCGTTCTCGTTGATGCTGCTGTTAATGTTGATGTTGTTGATGTTGTTGATGTTGTTGGTGTTGTTGTTGGTGCGAACAAAGACTGGGGCCCTGAAAAGAAGGTACCCAAATTTATCGTTTATTTTGAAACTTGTTTGGTGTTCCCTTAAGGGTGCCCATCAAAATACCAACCGTTTTGAGGCAAAAATGGGCGTAGTTTTTTTCCCTCCATTGTTGTATTAGCTTCTTGGACCCTTTTTCTGGCCGTTTGGCGACGAAATCTCGCAAAAAACGGGTCTGGCAGCCCTGACTTGGATCAAAATGATCTTTCCAGCTGCTGGACCTGTTTTGGGCGACAGCCTCTGTTTGGATTCGTGTGAGTTTTCCAGCTGCTGGACCCGTTTCTGGACTCAAAAAGGGTCTGGCAGCCTTGCGTGATAAGACGTTCTATTTTGCAGTTTCGGCCACGCAACGGTCCAGATCCTCCAAAAAAGGAGTCTGACAGTCTCGGTTTGGATTTGCCTGAGAAAACGTTCCGTCTTCCACCTGCTACCGTTTCCTGGACTCTCAGCGCACAAATCTTGCAAAACGGATCAAAAGGGTTCTCGCAACCTGTTTTTGGATCACAGCATGAGGATGTGTTCCGTTTTCCTTCTGCTCGACCCCTGTTTGGCTTGTCAGCGGGCTGCCTACCTGCAAGTGGACACGCTGGACTTGGAGAAACAAACGCTCAAAGCCCACAGCCTTCAGAGTATGGAAGGAATGATGCTCGATCGGCTTTCTTCCCCCCTCTCTTTCCACAGGCTCTTCCTTCTCCCTCTTTCTCTGCTTGTCTTGCTTTTTGCCATTTCATGGGCTGAATGAGCCGGTTGGTCTTGGTTCCATTTATCTTGGCTTTCTATGCTAGGCCTGCCTATGGTAGGCCACAAAGCCATTAACCTGAAGAATGTCAGTTCGATCCTTGACGCTCCTTTCCTTCCTCTACTTGTTGCTTGAGCTTCCTTTTCCTGTAATCTGATCTCTCGTGACTCTTGCTTGGCTGGCCTCTTCGCTTGGACCTCGAAGCTTGGATTACAGTCTAGCCGAAGCTTGGATTACAGTCTAGCCGAAGCCTAGACTACAGCCTACCCGATGCTTGACTACAGTCTACCCCCCTTCCTATGCAGCCACAAGTACATAATCTACCTTTTCTTTCGACCTGCTGGACCCTTTGTTTGGTTTTCTTCCTCCTCCTCTTTCCAAGGCTGTTGCGTTGAAACCTTGCATCTGTTTTGATGTATCCTGGGTACCTCCTTCTATGCAAGGCCTGCCAAGCTCAGGCCCTTACCCTGGCGAATGTGGATTCGATCCTGGGCGGCCCTTTCCTTCTTTTACCTTTTGCTTGAAGTTCCTTGGCTCTTCTTTAATCTATCGTGACTCTTATACTTGGCTGGCCTCTATGCTTTGACCTCGAAGCTTGGACTACAGTCCCCCTTTTCTGCCTCTGCAGAAAGTGGCCTGGCTACCTTTAACTAGACACGCTGGACTTGGAGAACCGGACGCACCGAGAGTCTGAGAACGCAGCCTTCACAAAGGGATATGGAAGGACTGACGCTTGCCTCTTTCTCTGTCCAAGCTGTTCTTTGTCAGTTGCTGTGTTACGATGATGATGGTGATGATGATGATGATGATGATGATGATGATCATGTGCGCGACGAAGGTAGCCACAACATGCTTGAGGTCCATGTGGAAGAGACGAATTGCCATGGGCGCGTCGACCTCGCATTGGTGCTGACCCTGTGCCAAAAGTAACCACCATGAGGGCAAATGGATTGAAACCGGATGAGTGTGGTAGGTTGGTTCCTATTTGCACATGCCGCATTTTGCGGCGGCTCATTCATGTACAAGTTCGCAGACTGTCCATCTGAAATATCGTGACCATATTGGTCCCAGAAAAATTCACACACACACACGCACACACGGAAAAAGAAACTAAACGACGGTTGGCCCGAGAGCGAAAAAGACGTTTTTCAAGCAGCTCTGAGTATGGTAGTTGTAAAAATAGTCGGTGAATGGTTGGTGGATTTTTTATGAGCTATGGAGGGATAAGTTGTGAAAAGTAAGATTGATTGAGAAGGGGATACATGTGACAACCCATGCATATATGCACTGTGCTGCTTGGTAAAGGGCATCATCTGACACATATCTTGCAACCACAGAGAGACATAGATAGAGAGAAAGGGAGGGAGAGAAGGAGAGAGAGAAAGAGAGAGAGAGAGAGAGAAAGAGCGAGAGAGGGAGAGAGGGAGAGAGGGAGAGAGGGAGAGAGGGAGAGAGGGAGAGGGAGAGAGGAGAGCGGAGCGAGAGAGCGGGAGAGAGGGAGAGAGGGAGAGAGGGAGAGAGGGAGAGAGGGAGAGAGAGAAAGAGGGAGAGAGAGAGAGCAGGGTCTTCTGTTGTTAGTATTGAGACATTATATTACAAGACAATATATTGAAGATGTATTATAGGCAGACGAGACAAGTAGTATCAAGATAATATATTACAAGAACAAAACACGAGTTTGCATCGTATCCGTCGTATTGTTTTTCACACACAGAACCTTTTACACACAGACGCTTTTGCACAGAAGAGGCACACAGACGCATTTACGCACAGACCCTTTTTTTTCACACAGAAGCGTTTACACACAGACGCCTTTACACACAGAAGCGTTTACACAGAGAAGAATTTACACACAGACACTAGACATTTTTACACACATAGGCTTTTACACACAGAAGCCTTTACACGAAGACACTAGACACTTTTACACACATAGGCTTTTAAACACAGACGCCTTTACACACAGACACTTTTACACGCAGACACTTTTACACACAGACGCTTTTACACACAGACACTTTTACACGCAGATGCTTTTACACACACACACACACTTTCACACACAAACGCTTTCACAGAGACTTTTACACACAGAAGCTTTTACACACAGACGCTTTTACACACAGACGCTTTCACACACAGACACTTTTACACACAGACACTTTTACCCACAGAAGCTTTTACACACACACACACAAACACACACTTTTCTTTTACACACACACACACTTTCACACACAGAGGCTTTTACACACAGACGCTTTCACAGAGACTTTTACACACAGGAACTTTCACACAGAGAAGCTTTTTACACACAGACGCTCTACCATCATTAATTTATGATTGTTTGGTGGGCTGTTAGTAAATTATCCTGGGCTGCTGTTAAAAGCTTATGGGACCTCATACTTAGACCTCATTTAAAATATTAGGTTGCACTTTTTACCTATCTTAACAGCAGCCCAGTTAACTGATCTCAGAGGTCGTCGTCGTCGTCGTCGGTTGTTGGTTGTTGGCTGGTGGCTGTTGATTGTTGGTTGGTGGTTGTTCTTCTGCTTGTGTTGCTTGTTTTGCTTGTTCTGCTTGTTCTGCTTATTCTGCTTGTAAGGTTTTGCGATTGAAAGTGGGTCTCTGGAATTTGATTTCTTTAGGTGGATCCATATGTATGCAGATTGTTTGGCAAGGAGCCATTATATTTGAATATTATTTGAATATGTTTGAATTTAACTACTTCATTTTTTCCTTACTTAAGTCGCAGATAAGTTACTTTTTGGCATCTAATTTCAGGACCAAGGGAATCATATCATATATATATATATATATTGATAGCATATCGTTACGCTCATTTCATAGCATGCAGGTGTATAAATGCGACGACTCCGAAGATGCACGTATACACAAGGTCTTGCTTTGTTTGATTTTTCTTGGGTTTTGCACGTACATTGATACTGAGATATGGTATTTTAATTCAAGGTGTGCAACATTCTTTCCAACATCAAACCAAAGGAATTGGAAGGAATCATGAAACTTAGTGCCAAACACAACATGAGATTAAGAGGCACGATATCAATAACTAATGAAATCTTAACCGCTTATCTATTTGGATCCAACCAGCAGGGAATCCATCCAATGGCAACCATCAGGATCCATTTACGATACAAAAAAAGGGATAGGTGGCCGTGATTAAATCTGAGGATCTCCCACGGGTTGAATAGATGATTTTCCCCAAACATTTTGCATTGTGCTGAACGCGCAGAAATATAAATATATGATTTTCTAACCTTCTATAACGGGTTAACCCTAAATTTAAACATATTAAAGTTGATGTCATTAGTTTGCATATTTTGTGGGTGGGCCTGTGCCGCCTGTATTGTGGGGCTGCAAGCCGGCAGCAAAAATAAGAACAAAGTGCGTCCTGCGGTTGGTAATGGGTCCTCAGATAGGCTGATTGTTCCCCACCTGCCAGGTGAGGGTTGTTAGATTTTATGTCAGTTGCCTCCTCCTCCTGCCTCCTCCTCCTGCCTCGTCCTCCTCTCCTCCTCCTCCTCGTCCTCCTTGTCATCCTTGTCGTCCTTGTAGTCCTCGTCGTCCTCGTCGTCCTCGTCCAACTGCGACCCGCGATCCACAGCGTTCTCTGCCGGACCTCAACCACGACCATCCACGCCCAGTGTTCCCTGCCGGACCTCAACCACGACCATCCCCGCCCAGTGTTCCCTGCCGGACCTCAACCACGACCATCCACGCCCAGTGTTCCCTGCCGGACCTCAACCGCGAGTATCCACGCCCAGTGTTCCCTGCCGGACCTCAACCACGACCATCCCCGCCCAGTGTTCCCTGCCGGACCTCAACCATGACCATCCACGCCCAGTGTTCCCTGCCGGACCTCAACCGCGAGTATCCACGCCAAGTGTTCCCTGCCGGACCTCATGTAGGAAGATATGGGACAAAGAATGTGCAGAAGAAAGTTAAAAAGAATGTCAGAAAGAATGTCAGAAGATATGCCAGAAGATATGCCAGATAGAATGCCAAATAGAATGCCAGATAGAATGCCAGATAGAATGCCAGAAGATATGTCAGAATATATGCCAGAAGATATGCCAGATAGAATGCCAGATAGAATGCCAGAAGATATGTCAGATAGAATGCCAGAAGAAATGCCAGATAGAATGCCAGAAGATTTGCCAGAAAGAATGCCAGAAGATATGCCAGAAGATATGCCAGATAGAATGCCAAATAGAATGTCAGAAGATATGTCAGATAGAATGCCAGAAGATATGCCAGAAGATATGCCAGATAGAATGCCAAATAGAATGTCAGAAGATATGTCAGATAGAATGCCAGAAGATATGCCAGAAGATATGCCAAATAGAATGTCAGAAGATATGTCAGATAGAATGCCAAATAGAATGCCAGAAGATTTGCCAGATAGAATGCCAGAAGATATGCCAGATAGAATGCCAAATAGAATGTCAGAAGATATGTCAGATAGAATGCCAGAAGATTTGCCAGTAAGAAAATGTATAAATGTCATGGTGGGGATCACACGAAGTAAAGTAATTTTTTTTCCCCACCTGCCAGGTGAGGGTTGTTAGATTTTATGTCAGTTGCCTCCTCCTCCTGCCTCGTCCTCCTCTCCTCCTCCTCCTCTCCTCCTCGTCCTCCTCGTCCTCCTTGTCATCCTTGTCGTCCTTGTCGTCCTCGTCGTCCTCGTCGTCCTCGTCGTCCTCGTCGTCCTCGTCCACCTGCGACCCGCGATCCACAGTGTTCTCTGCCGGACCTCAACCACGACCATCCACGCCCAGTGTTCCCTGCCGGACCTCAACCACGACCATCCACGCCCAGTGTTCCCTGCCAGACCTCAACCACGACCATCCACGCCCAGTGTTCCCTGCCGGACCTCAACTGCGAGTATCCACGCCAAGTGTTCCCTGCCGGACCTCATGTAGGAATGTCAGATAGACTGCCAGATAGAATGCCAGATAGAATGCCAGATAGAATGTCAGATAGCATGCCAGATAGAATGCCAGATAGAATGCCAGAAAGAATGCCAGAAAGAATGCCAGATAGAATGCCAGATAGACTGCCAGATAGAATGTCAGATAGAATGTCAGATATAATGCCAGATAGAATGCCAACATATATGTCAGATAGAATGCCAAAATATATGTCAGATATAATGCCAGATAGAATGCCAGAATATATGTCAGATAGGATGCCAGAATATATGTCAGAATAAATGACAGGTAGGATGCCAGAATATATGTCAGATGAAATGTCAGAAAATATGTCAGATAGAATGCCAGATAGACTGCCAGATAGAATGCCAGGTGGAATGCCAGGATATATGCCAGATAGAATGCCAGAATATATGCCAGAATATATGTCAGATAGGATGTCAGAATATACTAAATATATGTCCAAATATACAACCTGACATGTCATGGTGGGGATCACACGAAGTAGAGTAATTCGTCTTAAATCCGGGTTGAACGACCCCGAATTAGTTGAACAAAAACCATCAAAAACCTATGGATTAATGCCCCAAAGCTTTAAAGAAACCAAAAAAAATACCAAAGTGCGTCCTGCGGTAGATAATGGGTCCTGAGATAGGCTGAATAAAATTTTATTCGTCCTAAAATCAGGTTCAACGACCCCGAATCCACTGAACAGAATCATGGAATTATAGGTTTTCGTCCTAACTCAGCTGCGCGCTTTGTACCCCCTGAGATCGGCTGAATAATAATTGTTCGTCCTATATCCAGGGTCTGAGGTACACTTCGTCCTAACTCAGCTGCGCGTTTTGTACCCCCCAAGATAGGCTGAAACCCATCTCAACCCCTGGATTTAGGATGATGTTTTTTTTCGTCCTAACTCAGCTGCGCGTTTTG